TTTTAAGTTCTTCAGTGGTTGCATCAATTTTGATTCGATGTTTCTAGTGTTTGATCCATCATAGAGTGAGGTTGCTAGCAAGTAGCTATTTTTTTTTTAAGAAAGAAAATGGAATGGACCGATTATCTTGATGTTTCGTTTGGAATTTCGACCGATCCTTGGCCAACCGGAGGCTGGAGTAGCTCTAGCAATTTGGATGAAAACTCATTGCTAGACAATTACACTTGCCCAGACGGGCCAACATTGGCGGGGTTTGTTGGCAATCCGGGGATTTGCCCATCCTATTCGATCGATGCAGAAGGTGCAGGTACTACTATAGATCCGACTGATTCAGGTCTTGACGGTGGCTATACAGGGTATAGTTTTCATGTACAAAATCATCCTAGCGCTAGTGATATCTTATTCACCAAGAACATACCAAGCAAGTTGACGGAGAACGATTTGGTAAGAATTCGGAATGCTTATGGCATTCCAGCATCTGTTCAGCTTCGCTTACCACGACCGCACGAAAGAGTTTCGTGGAATGTTTCGGGCTGGACCTTTTTTTATGAGTTACCATTTAAAGATGGCTTTCGATTTCAGATTCCTCACATGGTTGGGATGGTACTGGAATATTTTGATATTGAACCCACTCAACTCATGCCTAACTCTTGGCGGTTGCTATTGGCTTTCCAAGTTTTGACTGGGCAACACGATATCTCATTCAGCATGCCGGAGTTGCTGCATGGCTACTTCATAAAGGAGCATGATGGTGAGAAAGGCCGGTTTTCCTTAAATGTAAGGAAAAATACCGATCGATTAATAACTGGACTTTCCTTGGGAGATAAAGGTTGGAAAAGGTCTTATTTTCTCACGTCAGGAGATTTGATTTGTCAGGGGAATTACAGTTTCCCTTCTACATGGTCACGTGGTAAGCTCCGTAGATCGCTTACTCCCGACGTGCTTTACTGATTCAAGGTCCTTATTTCACTTTCTTGCAGGTCTCCATATCAGCACACGGCCCGTCGAAGGCTTGATTGTGAAAAAGCGAATTTCAAAGATCTTAGCGATACCTACGGCTCAAAGGGACTGTCAGTTCCTTCTATCTTCTGAGGTTCTTTCTTCTAGTGGATTGTGGGATCATATTTCGATGGAATCACGAAGTATTCCTTCCGATTTCCCAAGATATAAAATCCCTATTATCATGATAAAGAGAGGTACAGAAATTCTTGGTAGTGATCTTCCTTTGGTTGGTCGCTTAACTCGACTGAACGTGAGATTGCTGATTGCATTATATCTAGGGTGGTAGGGTCTTCTCTTGACGCTCTAGAAAGGAGGAACGTGAAAGAAAAGTCTAAGAAGTTTTCTCATCTTACATCCTGACAACCCTACGGTTATAACTGATGATTTCTCGAGCCAGATTGAGCTACCTGATGCTCCCTTCCCGTTGGTCCGCAAATGCGGTCATCCTGGGCCTTTGTCGGCTGACGATAATTCGATAGTGCTTACCTTTCCTTTTGATTCGTCTGCATTCTCTAATCCAGGGGCGGTGGCGCTTGGTGAATGTCTATTATTTCCTGAAGATCGGACCCGCTATGAGCAACTTGGACCAGTAAAAGCTGCCGAAAACACGATGGCTTAGATTTTTCAGGTATATAATTTTCTTTATACTTCATTATGGATAACTCATTTGATGCGAACTTATCTCATTGATTCCGGGTCTGCAAGGTGCCATATTTCAGAAAAATGAAGCTGTTAGACAAGCTCGAAAGGTGCACTCGTTCCAGAATGCAAATACTTCATTACGTGGAGAAGTCGAAAGTTTGAGGGTTGGGAAGGAAAATGCTGATTTGGCTGCCAAAAATGCGATAAATGAGCTAGCCGAGATGGTTCGTGAGAAGCTCGCGTTAGAGGAGGAGCTTGCAAACTTAAAGAAATCTTATGGGGCTCAGATTGCTTCTTTAGAAGACCGTCTAGAAAATTGCGAGTTGGAAGTTGAAATAGCCACTAGAGTCTTTCTTATGAATGATTACAAGAAAGGTAAACACGTCACTGGGATGTGGACAAAGCGATTGCCGATTATGCTGAATTGTGCCCCGATGCTTGGTATGCCAAATATAGTAGAAGAGCAACTTGAAGTCGGGACTTTGTCTGGTGATGAAGTCGGGAATGCTGACGATGGGCAAGCCTGAACACTTCTTAGTAGCACATTTTCCAATTTTGCTTCCTGGCTGGCACTTCCTTTCGAACTTATGTATTGGAATTTTCATTTATGTCCTTCTAAATTGTGTAATGTGTAGGTTCATTGGGGTTGTATGCCAAAACTTTGTGTTACCATCCGTGTCTTTCTAAATTATGTAATGTGTAGGTTCATTGGGATT